AATTGTAATTAGTAGCCCAAATAGATTATTTCAGTATATTTCAGTATTTCATCATATGCATATTTACATCGGATACATATATATATAATTATATATATTATATCAACATAAAAGGGAAACTGGACATCGACTTGGAAAGCGGCTAATGCACAAATGACTGGTCTCTGCATGCTGGGGCACACAATACGGATGGGAAAGAGCAATAAGGATGATACGTTTTGGGCCGCGTAAATTTCCTCCCCATCAGGTCAAGGTTTCCCACGAAATTCCCCAACTCTGTCTCCTGGAAGACCTGTAATGAAACAACTTGTGCCGGATCCAAAACAAGGACTGAGCCAACGCGTGCCTAGAATGGCGTCATGCATGTCATGTCCCTGCTAGGCGAGACTGGAGGAGGATATGACGATGTTCTCTCAAATGCTGGACTCACTTGCATCCAAGAATCTGCAAGGCAGATGCGGGTCTCTCTCAGAAGTGCAGCTTGCACACAACAAAGATAGAGATGCAGCCGTGTCTCCTATCAGGCAGCAATCGCGTCCCAAGTTCTTTGGGAATTTTACATCCTTGACAGGGGATGATAGTGAAGAGCCTTGCCACTCCCAAGCAGCAAAAACAGCTTCTGAGACCGCGGCATCGGAGAAACCAACTCCAAGGCGATATGATTTTTCAAGGATTCACAGTGCAATGTCGGCCCCTGCCAGGTTTGTATACTTCAGTGGGCCAGAAAGGAAGCGGTTTGTTCTGCAAAGAAGTGAGTACTTGGATTCAAGCATGGACTTGAGAGGGTCGTCCTACATCCAGCATCATGACTTCCATCCTCTTCCCACATGGACGCGCGATGCTGAAACAATTATTCGAATCAGCGGAGCTGATGCGAAGTTGCCAAGTGGAGATTTTGCAGACGACTTGATGGTCATCCAGGAGTATACAGGCTTCCTTCGTCATTTCATGATATTTCCCAGCAGTCCAGGGAAGCTCACTTGGGATGTGATTGGAGCCGCGCTGATAGTCTATGATCTCTTTGCTATTTCTATGCAAGTATTCAGTCCGCCTGAAACCGGCTTGACAATTTTCATGCAATGGTTTATCCTCATTTATTGGACGCTGAACATGCTAGTGTCTTGTATGGTTGGGTACATTGACAAGGGCATTTTCGTGATGGTCCCGCACAAAGTGGTTTTGCACTACTTGAAGACGTGGTTTTTGATTGACATCATCGTTGTCGGATCTGACTGGATCTTTTCGCTCTCTGAAAGTGGAAATTCTGCCGAGAGCTCTGTGAAGCTATTGCGCAGCCTTCGTCTCTTTCGAATGGCCAGCACCCTAGAATCCTAGCCTCATTCATCCTCATTCATCCTCATTCATCCTCATTCATCGTTAGCCGCGTCTCCATCTCTGTAGCAGACATCAACAGCATCAACGAATCTACGACATGAAAGAATCACAGGAGCCCATGTCAAGAGATGATCCTGAGAGACTTCCAAAATGCCTAACAGATGCCCTGGTGTTCAAGACTTCTGCGCACTGGGACTGCATCTTAGGGGACAAGAACCAATTTGTATCAATTTGTAAATGTATGGCCTGTATGGCTTTCTAGTTGCCTCTAGCCAGGTGAGATTGATCCGAATTCTACGCCTGCGGAAGACCATGGAAAGTGTAAGTGATTTGGTGGACTCAGAGCCACCTAGCAGAATTTAGAAGAGAGCCAGAGCCAGCTATATATGAAAAGGATTGAAAAGGGTGGAACACCATGAACACCAAGCACATGTTCTGATTATCCACAATTAATATACAATTATGAATAATTATAATATGTTGTAATTATCCCCTATTTGTGAGTGTTTGCTGAGGTACATCAGCATCATCGTCAGCATTTTCAAGATGCTTGCTTTGCTTATGATTGTGAATCACGTGCCTCGAACGAAGCAGCTGGGGGAACAGAAGCTTTTGCGCATCATGCATCTGCGAATGCCTGCTTGCGCCGAGCAGAAGTTCGCCAGATTCTGCCAGATTGATTCAGATCGTACATTCTGTAATTCTGTGAAACTGCTTCCTTTGTGAGATGCTCTGTCTGATTTGCCCATGGCCTAGAACTTCATTGAACAGGTTTTATCAGGTTTCTGTGTTTGTTCCGGCTTTTTGGGCTTGGGCTTTTCCCGAATGCGTAGCAAGGGTTCTTATTTTAACTTTGGGGGTCTGGGTGTGGACGTGTTTTTGCTCGAGGCGGCTTTGCCGTTGGCAACCGTTCCCAACTGTCCGCAGCCGTTCGCAGTTCGCAGTGAGGACCATATGGCCGGACCGTTGGCGATTCCTGCAAAGCTTGTCACTTTTGGAGGTTTGAACATGCGTGTAATGTAGTCTTGCGTGGCAGGTGTGGCACTTCGTGACATTTTCACGTGTGTGACCAAGTGTCTTAAGTCGTCTTGTGTCACAGGCGCAATATGTAGTTTTCAAAGATTTTCAGTGGCAGATGCAGCACTCTGGAGACCTCCAATGTCCATGTTTCATGGCAAGCGCAATCAAGCGCAGCACTTGAGAGGTGTGGTGTTGCATGAGCGAATAGCAGTGGCAGTGCTGCGCCAGGTAGTGACAACTTGCAAATGTCGTGGCAGCCTGGGTACTTTGTGACATTCTGGATCCTTGAATGATCATGTTGAGTTCAACGACCATCTTTTGATGAATCGATTTCTTTCGCTTCGAACCCCTGCTGCGCTAAGATGAGACTCTGTTCGAACATGTTTTTTCGAACCATGCCAGTCCAAAACGTGAAATTAAAAGTTCACACTCTACACTCCACACGCTCCACGCGCTCCACACTTCCCACTCCGCGCATACACTCCACTCTCCGCACTCTACACTCCACACTTTAGACCAGCGGAGTGTACACTCCGCTGTTTACACTCCACCCTTCACACTTGACGCTCCGCACTCTTCAGCCCCCCCACACTCCCCAGTCCAGTCTACAATGGTATGCGTACAGGGGAAGAATGCACATGTGATGTGCATTCGGGTCCGTAGGTTGGATCAGGGTTTTACACTTACACCTGTTGCATCCTATTGCCTATTGCCTATTGCTGTTTTCATATTTCCTTACTCCGGCGTTCTGTCAGGGTTGCGTTATGGCAGTTGCACAAGGATCAAACAAGTCAGAGTGGCATTTGGCATCATGGCCACTCAGACTGTATGCCCGAACAAAAACCTCCCCCCGTCTCAAGGAGGGAATTGTTTCTCAGAGCCTCAGGCGTTTCCTTTCTAACTGGTGTGTTTTCATTTTTCTCCGTTCCCGTCCTTGTGAATTACTCGTACTGTCTTATAGGTATTGATATTGATACTGGGATTGAGATGGCCATGATGGAAGTTGATATTGGTATCGGTATGGAGAATGATGATGATGATGATGATGATGATGATGATGATGCTGTTGATGATGATGCCGATGATGATGCTGATGATGCTGATGCTGCTGCTGATGATGATGATGATGGGGAGGACAGCCACGTCCGCCCGCATGCCGCTCTACTTGTTTTTACGAATGCATGATCCCCATCTCTACATGGGGATTTCCTGGAATGGGGGTACCCCAAAATGGATGATTTACTGTGGAAATTCCTACTAAAATTTTTAGGAAACCTCCACGTGTTGATATCTTTCCGGGGAGCCCACTACCAAAATTAATTATCTTGAAATCACGGGTTTGTATATGTTACATCCATGCGCCCCTTCGAACCCAGGAAAGAAATTTTGGTTGAAAAATATTTTCCTTTGGTGTACAGATGTCTGGCAACAGGAAAATAATTTCGTCAGGTTGTTCATGGGGGGTGAGTTCATTCCAACATATATATATATAATGTATGTCAAACTCCAGGAAGAAGATGACTCATGATTCTTTGAGGGGGTATGTTTTCTTTACATGAATTAACAAGGTTGGGAATAAGGTTTTTCCTTGTATTGTTATGTTGCTGGATGTACATAGGGCGTGGTGTGATGTCGATTTGGGATGATTCGTGATGATTTGGAAAACTCTCAAGTGATCCAAACGTTGAATATATTTTTAATTTTCTGAAAGACATGATTAAATGATAAACGATTGAATCTTTCGTATCTCGTCTTCAGACAAACCCCATTTGAATCTGTGGTGAGCTGGAAACTGTCGGATCCGTGGTTTTAGATGTTCCAGGCGCGGGATATTTTGCTAAAGTTGTGATCCTTGCAACCCAGAAAATTAGTCTAGTAACAGTGTATGTTGAGGGGTGGTTATCTGAGTCTTGTATGAGGGTTGACACCCAGGAATTCATTTGGTATCAGAGGAGAACAAATGCCCTTCTGGAAACCTTAGGTATCAGGACGTCAGTGCCTGCAAGCTTCATTCGCCTTAAAAGGTAAATTGTAGCTAGAAAGGTCAGGGCACCAGGAGTTTAATGGTTCGAGGATAGGAACCTTCGGGCTACACCGGGTGGCTATAATGCATGTATGTAATGTAATGTAATGTAGTGTAGAGTAGTGTAATGGAATGGAATGGAATGTAATGAATGTAATGTGTGTATGTGTATATGTGTGTATGTGTGTATGTGTGTATGTATGTATGTATGTATGGATGGATGGATGGATGGATGGATGGATGGATGGATGGATGGAGGTAGGTAGGTAGGTAGGTAGGTAGGTAGGGGGGTATGCGGTATGCATGTATATGTGTATGGATGTATGGATGTATGGATGCATGGATGTACGGATGCATGGATGCATAGATGTATGGATGTATGTATGTATGTATGCAAGTATGTATGTATGTATGTATGCATGCATGTATGTATGTATGTCATGTATGTATGTATGTAGGTAGGTAGGTAGGTAGGTAGGTATGTATGTATGTACGTATGTCCGTATGTCCGTATGTCTGTATGTCTGTATGTCTGTATGTCTGTATGTCTCTATGTCTCTATGTCTGTATGTCTGTATGTCTGTTATGTTATCTTATGTTATGTGAAGATATGTTATGTTATGTTATGTTATGTTATGTTATGTTATGCATGCATGCATGCATGCATGCATGCATGCGTGTATGTATGCAATATGTATTTAATATGTATGCAGTATGTATGTAATATGTATGCTTGCTTGCTTGCTTGTTTGTTTGTTTGTTTGTCTGTTTGTCTGTTTGTTTGTTGACTTGTTCCGCCATGCCATTGTGTGGTTGTTGTTTCCTCTGTGAGCAGCATGATATGAAACCAACACTAGTGGCAAAAAGACAGCAGGTGCCCCAGCATCCGCGCCCTAAGCCCTCAGCAGGACAACCTCTTGCTTAATTTGCAATGCGTGTTGTGGATGCAGCAATGGCAGAATTTCTCAACTTGGCATGGGAAGAAGAATGCCCGGGCGATCCACTAGCAATGGGCACTCACAAACCAGTGCAAGAAATGCATGCCAGGTCCTGAGCAGCAAACAAGGCAACTGAGATGAAAATAAATGCCACCTACCTGACAAACCAGAGTTAGTACAACACTTGTGCTGCAGCAAAAAACTTTGAAAGCTGACATGTTTCGGTGCAGAGGCACAATGCTCAGTTCAACCCAATAGCGAACTGAATGCGAAAACACCACTCGGAAGGGGCTCTTGTAAAGACATGTTGAAGGAGTATCGGTATTTATTTGTGGTGTTGTGTTTTTAGCATTGTTGTTCAGGGAAATCAAGATGGCTATAAGCCGTCAAAGGAAGGTGTCGAGTCTTTGAAACCATGCTCGCCGCTGGCAAATCTTCGAAACCACTTGCATTTTGTTGCTTCATTTCGAACTGGCGATTCATGCCTGTGCGAGGTTATCGCGTGCTTTTGGTTTTGGATTGGAGATTCTGGTGAAGGAGGCTGGATTGATGCGCACAACTTGATGGATGACAACTGGGAGTACCAGCAACTTGGCTTGAGACGGCTTGTTGTTTGCAAACCATTCCGGTTGCGTTTTTTGATTAGGCCAAGTCAATCAGAAATAGTCTTCTTCTTCTAGTAGTAGTAGTAGTGGTAGTAGTAGTAGTACTAGTACCTAGTAGTAGTACTAGTACTAGTAGTAGTACTAGTACTACTACTACTACCTACTAACTACTAACTACTAACTACTAACTACTAACTACTAACTACTAACTACCAACTACCAACTACCAACTACCAACTACCAACTACCAACTACCAACTACTAGCTAGTAGCTACCAACTACCAACTACCAAATACTAGCTACTAGCTACCAACTACCAACTACCAAATACTAGCTACTAGCTACCAACTACCAACTACTAGCTACTAGCTACCAACTACCAACTACTAGTAGTAGTGGTAGTAGTAGTGGTAGTGGTAGTAGTAGTGGTGGTAGTAGTAATGGTGGTAGTAGTAGTAGTAGCAGTATTAGTACTAGTACTAGTACTAGTTACTAGTACTAGTACTAGTATATAATCCTCCTTGCAATTTCGTCTACAAAACAATTATATAAGCTTGGGAACATGGTGCGTTTTAGGGCCCTCCTTTGTTTAGGGGTACCTACCCAGTGTCAACGTTTGCAATTTTATAGAGGACCTTGGTGTCAGCGATTCGATAGAAATTTAATGTTGAAAACAGGTTGACACTGAAAACTTGGAGCAAGAGAGCTCTATAAATCTGGGAATGCGTGAGATAAGCTAGGCAAGAGCAATTGGAGTATTCATGTCAGCTGTCAATGAACGAGACTTGGGGAATCTGATTTTATAGAAGGCCAACTAACCCCCCCAACCTAAAAAAGGCTTTGCGAGAGTGACTTGGTGTCAGCTGTTCTATAGAAAATGATGCTCATAAACAACCTCAGTGACAGCACTTCTATAGAGATTGTCAACTTGAAAATACCCTGGCGTCTCTGATTCTATAGATGCATGTTCAAAAAGAGGGTCAGCGTCTACAGGTTTATCACTATAAAATTGCTCACACCAGCACTTTCACTTAATTCATAAAGGGATTACTGGTACTACTACTAGTACTACTACCAGTACTACTACTAGTACTGCTACTTGTACTAGTACTACTACTCCTACTCCTGATGCCACTGCTGCCACTGCTGCCTTTGCCACTGCTATTGCTACTGCGACTGCTATTGCTACTGTTTTTGCCACAGCTGTTGCTACTACTACTCCTCATCACCATCACCATCACCATCACCATCACCATCACCATCATCATCATCATCATCATCATCATCATCATCATCATCATCATCATCATCATCATCACCATCACCATCACCATCACCATCACCATCACCATCACCATCATCATCATCATCATCATCAGCATCAGCTTCAGCATCACCATCACCATCACCATCACCATCACCATCACCATCATCATCATCATCATCACCATCACCATCACCATCACCATCATCATCATCATCATCACCATCACCAGCATCATCATCATCATCATCATCATCATCATCATCATCATCATCATCACCATCACCATCATCATCATCATCATCATCATCATCATCATCATCACCATCACCATCACCATCAGCATCACCATCATCATCATCATCATCATCACCATCACCATCACCATCACCATCACCATCACCATCATCATCATCATCACCATCATCATCATCACCATCATCACAATCCCTGTTCTTGGATACCACGCAACAAAATCCAATCCAATCCAAGCCGCAGGTATGCAACCAGCCTCCACTGGGCGATTACGCAGTTCACACCAGCGTCTATGCACATCCAGCCTCAGAACTTAAACGAACCTCAACAACAATGGAATTGCTGATTGTCGCTGAATATCGTGACATTTTGAACAGAAGGGCTTTTGCCCAGCTTGTTGCGATTGATTTTGATTTTGTTTTGCTGTGTGAATCATTGAGGAGCGTTTGTTTGCTCTTGGAGTGGTAGTCTTTGCCCTCGTTGGTTTCTCCTATGCGCCTTGGGCCTTGGACAACTAGTCTTCCAGCAGTCTGCTTGCCATAGCCGTACGCACGTGCTATGTTCTCTTTGCATACAGCAAATCAGTGGTTCAAATAGGCTCACTGAGATGGCTTGGACGCGCAGTGACAGCGATGTGGGATGTTTCGGAATGTTTGAGGTAGTGGGTAGCATCTCTGGCTCTTTGGCACAACTGCGAGGCCCTCATGTTCTTCTGTGTTTTTGGGAGAAAGCAAATGGGTTGTTTTCCAAAAGTTCATTCTTATCATGCTTCTGGGTTCCAACAGTCTATTATTATAAATCATTATTATATATTATATACTATGTACTTATATACTTATATATATATAGAAGGACGTTGCAGTAGCAAATTGCCAAATGCAGGTTGAATGCTGTGTGTAGACCTCCAGAAACTCAGATTGATATCAGGCGAGGTACGAAGATAGAAAATCAAACCGAAAATCTCACAATGAACGGACGTGATACTCGTAGAAGTGATAAACACAGCAAAATCTGACAGCAAATAGTAAGTTGACACATGTTGATACTATGGACAAGCTAGACCAATAAACAGAACACCGTTTGCTAGATTTGTTGTGATAAGACTGGATTCGGCGCAGGACGATTCAATAAGGCCAGTACAGGGTATTAGACCTTACCCTACGTGTCTCACGTCGCAGGAAGTCGTCCCACATCCTTTGTGCCATGGGGAAGTTGATGCCAGACAAATGCTGTCATACAGTATATACATCATCCTTTGTTGAAGGTTTGAGGTCTATGTCCCAAATCACATCGGCACGATGGTCTTGAGTAGGAAGTATGTCCCATTCCTCACACTATCTCGCTACATTGTTCATAGGAAGTTTAGGAGGGAAACTTGGAAACTTGGAAACTTCTGAGCAGAGTCAGGGTAGAGAAGAGTGTAGTACAGCTCTGAAGAGTAGTAGAATAGAGAAGAGCAGAGCAGAGAAGAGCAGAGTGAAGAAGAGTAGTATAGCTACACAAGTACTCAACGAACAAGCAGATACTGGCGGCTTGGTAGATTTACTCGATTCGATTATACATTATATATATATGTATATATATAGAGGTGGATAGAAAGATGGATAGGCAGACAGTACATTGATGGATAGATGGACACGCAAATTTGGAGAACCATTGATAAGTACACCCTTGCCTTGCTGGCCCCATGATGTGTCACATGCAAAAACTGCAAAACCTCTGAACCCGCAAGATAAAACTCCAAACCCAAACAATCCAAAGAAACCCAAGACCAGAACCTGATAGAGGGCAAGACGTAAGGCCAACATAAGGACAATTATTTTTGGAGCGAAACAAGAGTGTGTTGACATTGCTTGGTGCGTTCCCAGTCCTGATCTGGAGTGCTCATGCAATATTGTGAAGGCCTTAATGGCGGACTGCTGTACAAAATACATCCCTGAGTGCTGTGCATTTATTGCAGAAAGCAGCAATGACCAAAAAAACATGGTGACATTTAAAGCAGACCCACTTAGGAATTTGAAAACGAATACACAGCAAGGTCCCAAGAATCATCCCAAACCGAGAGTGTGCTCACATTCATATTCCATGTCATGCTGGTAAATTGTTGTTTTAATTCTTCTTTCGCCCTCCCAAGCCTGCCACACACTATATCTGAAAGGACCTAAACAGAGATCCCCACATTTCGCTTGTGCAAAATGCAGCACTAACGCACTCGGGCAAGCTAGGGGCCAGGCCCATCTGAGCAAAACAGTATCGTTGATGCAAGACGGATATGCTGAACATGCAACATATGGGAATGGATCAAAACCGATTTTCGCCAAAATCAGAGGCCATTCTAGGGCTCACCAGGGTACCCAAGGTTTTGACGCATGCCGCATACCCATATGTAAATTTATATGTAAAACAAAGGCATAATTTTGTTCTGAAGCTGCTGCAGATTCGATCAGGCATGACCGAGAATCGAGCTCGACAATTCTGGGAGCTTAGACGTCACCTTCGAAAGAATAGAGTCTCCATTACCCTGTCAGCTCGCATCCAGAAATATGTTGAGCATGTTCTCGAGAGCCACCAAGCCGCAAAAAGTCCCAAAAAGTCCCAATACATTGCACAAAGATGCGCAGAGCCAGTCAGACGATGTCAGATGTCCATTCCAGGAAACCATCAACAAACTTAACAAAACCAAAGGACCAAAAGATACCAAAAGTAAAGCTCTGCTTTGAAAGTGCCACCTTTTGCCTGAGGCCAAGAGGAAAATGTACCGGCTGAAGATATCAAGTTGCTGACGCTGCTCTCTGAGCAGCTTCGAAGTGAGCTGGAGTGCAACTTGGATGGTGACGAATGACAAACTGGATGCAGTGAGCCTTGAAGACAGTCAATAATGACAATGATCATTATGCATGACCATTGTTGATTATTTACATGATTTTATCATGCCTTCCAAAGAGTCAAGTCAATCCAAGGCGAGATTTGCATGCCACACTTTTCAGTGCACCCTCTTTTTGCTCGACTATGTGTGGTCTCACGTGTGACCATTCATCGCCTCGCAAACAATGCCATTCAGAAGAAGCAGCTGGCACGGACTGACTCCTTGTTCATTCCAGGGGAGACTGCAACGCATATGTACATAGTGGTCTACGGAAGGCCGGAACCAGAGCTTGGGAGATCTTGGGAGGGTGCATATGGATTGCATATGGGTGATTACTTGATATTACTTGGACACATTTGGACACCGTAGAACAGGTTGCTCGGTGTTTGCACCAAGGTTGATCTACAGCAGGATTGATTCCAAGGGGACCGAGCACAAAGAACTGGTTGACAAAGGCTTGTCGGGTGGGATTTTCATAGATGTTCAGTGTGATAGGCTATAGGGTCAAGATTCCGGAAGTTGTAGGGGAGATTTTGGGACACTATGGGACAATACACTCAGTTTGGGAGCGTGGCAAATCAGATTCAGCAAAAGGGAAGACATGACCGAATGATAGGCAACATGCTTTGTAAGATTTTGATAGATTTTGTATGGCAGGGGAAGACTGGATATCTGAGCCTGTTCTTTGGACTTCCAGTTGGCTTCATTTGGGATTGCTGATTTCAATGACCGAAAGCGAATTGATGGTTCTGGACCCCACCCACTTTGGTCGAGTCGTGAATCTGAATCCGGATGCTGCAGCTCTTGCAGCGACGTATGTGGTGAACTTCATCAAGTGGATCAATTCAGTTCAAAGAGACAGCCTTTCCGATATTTGGCAAGGAGAAAACGTTGGTCCTCGCGTTGCGGGATTCATGGAACTTGACGAACATCAGTTCAAGAGTGCAAAAAGTCTAGCTGCCAAGCTCATGAACTGGCAGAAGTGATGTGGGTGCAGTTCGCAGGACAATGACATGACATGGGACGCGATGGTTTTAGTATCCTCAGACCCCAGACCTCGTTTTGTAGAGGTTTCAAATGTATTCAAATGTAAATCCAAAGCTCCAAAGGAGGTGCGAATCAAAACCAGAACAGCATAACTAGCCTGAATAGCGGGCTGTATCAGCAGTCCTGCGATGTGAAGCTGGCTGCATTTTGAATTTGCTCTCTCAAAGAGACGCGTGCAAGCTTTGAACTGAAGGAAGTGCTACAGCTTGCCATAGTTTTCAAAAATATGTCAAGAAATTGTGCGTAGCAGTGATTTGTCCAGCAAACGTCTTAACCCATCTCCGTGATTGTGCTGAAATTCTGACCAATTCCTGGTGAAAAGATCGGCCTTTTATTGCTTCGATCTCCCCGCTCGAACAGGACCCTGTTGCATGGTGCATGAATGATCTGAATGCAGACCACAGAGCAATATATTTTTGAGCCCTATCCTGCGCACATGCATTTGAGTGCAAGGTGATGTATACTCCTGTCCAGTGGATCTACTGTGCAGACAAATGTAGAGACTCTAGAATACTATAGATAAGCATGATAAGCCTAGCATCCACTTGAATTTGGGACACAATGATGCGGCCGCATGTCGCGGTGGTGTTTGAACTGATGCGCCATGCAGGCTCCATACCAAGCTTTCAATCTGTCCTGTGTTGTACTTTTACTAAAGACTTTGTCCACTGCACTGCGGACAGAGCCCAGGTCACTGAGTACAATGACATAAAGGCGTGGCGTACACGATGAGACAAAATGGACTCAGACATACCCAGACTATCTCAGACTGATGTGTGCAGTCTTGCAGGTCTACAATCTTTCAGCAGGAAAGTCCTTGCCACAGTGGTTGGCTGAAGCTCAAAAAAAGAAGCAGAGTCTTGGATGCATTGTCATTGTGGCAATGTGGTTGTGACTTGATAAACACAAACACATAATTACCTCTGGCAGACTTCAGGTGTGAACACATCTTTGGATATCTTTCCTGCATGTTTCTGCCAACCTATCGAAGGATATAGAAGGAATATGCAGATGTTCAATTGAACCATGGAATCACCAGATATGCTGTTGAGGTCGCTTCGGCGCAATGAGGACTGGTTGTCACAATTTTGCGACGATCATTTACAGAATCAACATCGATCAACATCTTGCAGTGAGACAACCTCAGATTTCAGGATTTCAAGAAGCGCATCGACTTGATTCAGGTCGGAAATGGGGTGATCGAAAGACATTCAAAGCGATGAAAGAGGTCCTATACTCTGTTTCGGATTGTTTCGGGAGATATTCAAAGCCCACGAGCTGGGCAGCATCTCTCCACTATAATAATTGCACTCTGGTCCGGCGCTGCGCTTTTCTGCCAAGAATGCAGTCAGACTAGCAAGATGTTTGCATTGGCAAATCACTCTGTCAACTGATTGACAGCCACTATATACTAGCAGTGACAAGGAAGGATTGCTGAACATGATTGAACATGTGCAGCCGCTTGACAGTCGTCGTTCTGTGTGTAGGACTTTGAGTTCAATGTTGCATCATCGAGAGTAAGAATATCCGCAGATGGCGACCACGTCCTTGCGACTGGCATCTACGCGCCGGACCCTTGCAGCTTTCCGGTGGTTTCATCCTGGTCTGCGTTTGGGCTAAGTGTGACATGTTCTCATGAAGTTTAAACAGAGCAGAAAAGTCAGAAAAGGCACCAAAAATCACACTTTGTGGGTTTTTGTGGTTTTTGCAGACACACTCGCTGTTCCGAGTCCGGCCATCACTTGCATCTGTGCGCCGTTGTGTCACAACTTTGAGGAGCTTCGCATTTTCGATCTGAAAGAGTTGGGCCTGAAGTGTTCTCGCTGGCTGCCCAGGGGTTGCATCTTTGATCATACTTAATAATTCATATTTATCGTGTTTGCTGTTGTTATTGTCGATGCATGTTGATACGTACAGTACCATCTTGATGCTATCATGCTTTTCACAGGTCCTGTGTTGAACTTCGGGGTTTGTATTTCAGGATTGGCAATCATATGCAGATATTCAGATATTCAATAATATTCACACTCAGACTCAGTGCATTCCGCAGAAACTCAATGTTCAGCGGATGCCAGCGGGATTGTGGCCCCGGCCATTTCGCAGCTTCAGAGTTTTGAAGTCCCACCTTCAATCACAAAAGATCAGTATAATTCAGAAAGATTCAGCATACCAGAAAAGATCAGAAGGGCAATACTGAAATGACTTGTCTAAATTGACCACCGTCTTCAACGAAGTAGAGAAACAGATCCGTAAACCACAAAAAGGCATTGTATGAGAATGTATGAGATTGAATTGCACATATTGCACTTTTCTGCAGATGTCCGTGACATCAAGGTGGCCTCGATTCGGAAGTGGTCGATTTTCTCCTTCTGTCTGAAGACTGGAAAAAACTCGCAGCTTGCCTGGCTTGAACTCGGCTTGCACCAGACATTGTAGAGATCAGACAGTCACTTGAGACACTTGAAACACCCGAGACACTTGAGACATGGCACTGCATGCTCTTTTGATCTCTTTTGTTCAGGGGCTCTCATGCCGCATGGTGTTGCAAGGTCATGCTTTTGGACGATCGCACCCTGGAATTCCACTCTCAGTATGGCCGGCATCACCGTCTACGAGTCCCAAAGTGTCAAATGCCAAGATATCTCTCCATGATTCTCTATGCCTGTGTTGACGCCGCAACTGTTATGCTCAGCATACTTGCCATTAATTTTCGTGCTCTCTCATGTAAATGCAGACGTGAGAAGCAGGTGGACGCAGCCTTAGCTATGACAGCGAGTCATGCAATCTCTTTGTCGGTGGATCTTCATCTTCCCTGTACAGGCACAACTTTTGATGTCTTTTGAGAGTAAAACAAGCTGTAAAAGCACATCCCCATCTATTTATTATGCAATACGAATCAATACGATAAAAATCGATAAAAGATGCAAATCTATGCAAGTTTTGCATGACTTTGAGGAATGGCACTTACGCTACAGTTTTATACAGTTTTCATGTTTTCCCTGCCCCTCTGCCAAGCTTCCCTCGCTGTGCAGGCTTGACTTGGAGGCAGGCACATTCTTGACGCCCCTGGAAATGCAGAAGCTTACTGAGATCAACGAAGTGGTGACGATACTAGCTTTAAGACCTTTCAGCAAAGCGCTTCTCAGAAGTTTGCCTTTCGCTTTTTGTCATGGGAGTGAAGGCCAGTATTTGTATGTTCCAAGATGTTCCAAGCACTTCTTGGCGCTTAGGAACCCACGACTGCCAATCCTGACCTGTTGTGGAGATGGTGGCATAGTTGAATCATACGATTTGCGAGATCCATCACCGCTCCAGTTGCTGAAGGCACTGTCATTCCTTTCTCAAGATTTCGTTTGGACCGCTATGGATGGCTGATGTTGATTGAATCTGATTGGCTCACTTCGGTGCTTCAAAATGTTTCAAATCTATGAACAGCACTGAATGATCTGAATGGATCTGAATGGCTGGTGTTCTCACAGGTCCATGATGGAGGAATTGGAGAAACTGCTGAGGCCTGCAGTGTTGACCTGGATCAGTCCGGATTTCCGAAGTTTCGGGATCTTTGGATATCTTTGGCATTCTTTGGCTCTCCTTGTGTAGCAATTTGTAGCATACTGTTAACATCTGTTAACACTGTTGCATTCGCCTTGCTTTCAATCCAAGCTTTTGGTTTCTTTTGTTTTCTGCAGGTGACCAGATGCGCGTACTCCAGCAATGGCATGTTTTTTGCTGCAGGAACATCCGAGGCGGTTCGCAAGATTTGTGTCCATGGTATATTTGCTCAGGACCATATGCCTTGGGTATCCTTGGGTACTATTGAACTCATTGAACCACAACATTCGTAAAATCTTGAATGCAGAATTTGCAGACTTTGCACATGTTTGAACTTGAAATGTCTAGCGACATTCACGTCTAGCGACATTCACGAATGATCACGAATGTATCTTCGTGTATCTTTATGTCTAGCAACATTCATGCATCGAACGTGTGACACTTTTTGATCCGCAGCTTGGCTGCAGGGATTGGTTCGAGTTTACGATCTCAGAAGCAGTCGTCCAATTTCCGAGCGTGATCATATGATCCTTGACTTGCATGTGCATTTTCTTCAGTTCTGAGTGTCCGCACCTGCTATGCTGCAATGGGCAACAGATACTTGTGGGTGTCAGTGTGTACAGTATTCGAAAATATTCGAATCAAATCAACCTGACAGTCATATCTGACATGCTTCATCATGCTTCATCATGCTTCTCTGTATTTCTCTGTGCAAGGAATGACTACGCAATCTCATCCCTTTGTTTTCACAGCCGCGGACCGGAATCATCTGACCTGCTCGTGGCATCTGCAGATAAGAGTTCCATCAAGGTACCAATGCGGCATCGTACTGGCAAACATGGCAAACCCTACTGGAACAATCTGGAACAATCTGGAACAGTGATTGTTTCTCTATGTTTCTCTCAGTCAATTGCTTCTGGTTGCATTGCGCAGCAGAAATCAATTTTCTTCATCTTCCTGCCACAAAAAAGGGTTTTAGATGGTTTAGCAGCTACAAGATGTTTGATGATGTTTGTGCTTTCTGCAGCCCAAAGCATGGCTTCCCATGACTACAGCAGCAACAACCAACAGGTTTGGGCAGCAACAAGTGGCCGCATGGTTGCATCTGTAGAGTCGCCAAGTGCAACTTGGCCGCATGTCGGATGAAATGTATTGAACGTCTTGAGATTTTGATGTAACAGAGAGTCTTTGAATGTCTTTGAGCAGAGATCTTTCAATCTCTTAGCTGTGAAGGTTGTTAACCAGATCACCTTCTACCCAAATTCCGGCATGATCTTCGCAGCGAATGACCAATCGACTCTTATCAGCACTCTTTGACGTGCAAGCAGATTTGTCAGGAGACCTGTGCTCCAGATTGCTCCAGTGCATACTACGTGCATAAAGTAAGATAAGTAAGTGCCTGTACTGCAATTGGGGTATACTACGGAGTGTCACTGGTGGATCTTTGCCATCAGGCGCTTGGGGTGGCTTGGCCAGCACTTTGCTTCATGCCAAAATGCATTGCACCATATTGCACCCAATCCGTTGTCTCCAGATGTTTCTACAGCGCTGGGATAGGATGTCGAAGGGTTGCTGATGCTGTGTGGCTGTTGCTCATTCAGAATGGAGCAACATCCGCTCAGGGTCTATTTTGTGCCCAGTATTGGACTTGCACCACCGCAGCTTTGC